TGTGATAATTGTTATTAATTTATGGAGAATGTGAATAAACCTAGAAGAAAATGCTGGTTATAGTTTAATGGTAAGGTCCAGTGTTCCATCCCAGCTGCATCTGATGAGATAGGAAAATGGAGATATACGTTGGGGACTCAATGGTTAAGACAAATAGTTTTTGTTTCATTTGATGTGAGAGTTGTATTGTGGAGATGTAACAAAAAGCAGAGGGTTTTTTTAAGTTGAATTTTCAATTTTGTGGTGAAATTTCACAAGATTTGTACTTTAATTAAAACTTCAGTAAAGAAAAATAGAGAAACAACAGCTTGTACAAAGACTTGCATACAGATACGTGCGTGCCGTAATTTGCTTTATTCATGGGTAATATCACCCACAGTCTGGGGCAGGGCCTATGCTCAGGAGTAGATGGTCAACACAACTTGTATGCTTTCTTGTTGTTGTTTTGTTTGGGTAATTTTGTTTGTTTGTTGTTGTTTTGGGTTTTTTGTTTTTGTTTTTAATCTTTCTGGGCTGTTTGTTTGACAAAGAAAAGAACACGAAGTTGGGTGGGTGAGAAGAATCTGGGAGGAGTTGAGGAAGGGGAAAGAATATGATCAAAACATATAGGATAGAGAGATGGCTCAGAGGTTAAGAGCACTGGCTGCTCTTCCAGAGGTCCCAGGTTTGACTACGAGTACCCACAAGTGACTCAGAACTTCTGGTAACCCCAGTCCCAGGGCATCCAGTGTCATCTTCCAATCTCGTCGGGCACTAGGCGCGTACCTGGTGTACAGATATATACCCAGGCAAAACACTCATATATAAAAATATATGAAACTGGGTAGTGATGGCACAACAACCCTTTAATCCCAGCACTGTGGAGGCAGAGACAGGCAGATCTCTGTGAGTTTGAGGCCCTCCTGGTCTATACAGGGAGTTCCAGGACAGCCAGGGCAGTTACAGAGAAACACTGTTTCAAAAAATAAGTAAAATAAAATAAATGAATAAAATTTAAAAGTACATATATACTATGAAAATCTTTTTTTTTTTTTAAATTTTTTTTCTGTGTGTATAGGTCAGAGGTTAACATGGAGTGTTTCTCAATCAGTCTCCACCTTATTTTTTTTTTTGTTTTTCGAGACAGGGTTTCTCTGTGTAGCTTTGCACCTTTCCTGGATCTCACTCTGTAGCCCAGGCTGGCCTCGAACTCACAGAGATCCACCTGGCTCTGCCTCCGGAGTGCTGGGATTAAAGGCTTGTGCCACCACCGACCGACCGACCGACCGGCCTATGAAAATCTTTTTAAAAAGTCAAGAAATAAAAAAGTTACTTTATTCATAGAGCCTGAAATAGGATACAACTCAAATCCCCATTCACATAGAAAACCACTCAGCAATAATAGAGTGAATGAACCTTTGATAGATACAGCAGCAGAAATAACTTTTAAAGACAGTATGCTCATCACAGATGTCAGACTCTTGTAAGCTACTTAATAGATGGTTTCCTTTACATAACTTTGGCAGCAAAATACAGGGCCAGAAACCCAAGGAGAGGGACCTTGAGAATGAGGGAATTTTTTGAGGTAGTGGAACTATTTCTATATCTTTGGCAAGGTTCAATTTTGCTGTATATAAAATATGAATAAGGCTTAAAATTAAGATTTTTAAAAGTTTTAACTTTGAATAAAAAGATGGAGTATCTATAAAATAAATCAGTACTACAGAAAAGATACATAAAGATTACATACTGTTGATAGTTTTGATACTTGAGTCATTGAGGGATAAGTTGAAGAATTTGTATAAATTAACTCAGAATTCAGTTACTAGGTTTTTGTTTTCTGTGGAGTTTTGTGGTGGTGGTGGTGGTGTGGGTTTTTGTCGTTGTTGTTTATGTGTATGTGAGGTTGCTTTCATTTTGTTTTGTTGAGACAGGATAGCCTTCCTGCCTCAATCTCCCAGGTGCAAGGAGTGCGTGTGTGTGTGTGTGTGTGTGTGTGTGTGTGTGTGTGTGTGTGTGTGTGTGTGTGCCATCATGCCTAGATGTACTAGAAAGCTTTTCAGCCCCGCGGTGGTGGCTGCGCGCGCCTTTAATCCCAGCACTCGGGAGGCAGAGGCAGGCGGATCTCTGTGAGTTCGAGGCCAGCCTGGGCTACCAAGTGAGTTCTAGGAAAGGCGTAAAGCAACACAGAGAAACCCTGTCTCGAAAAACCAAAAAAAAAAAAAAAAAAAAAAAGAAAGAAAGAAAGAAAGCTTTTCTTTGAACTTCAGAGAGTATTAAATCTTTTTATCTTGGGGGAAGAGGGAGAAGGAAAAGGGAAATAAAAAAGAGAAATCTAAGCCATAGGGGCTGACAGTGTGGCTCAGTGGTTTAGAGCATTTGTTGCTCTTGCAGAGGACTCGGGTTTGATTCCTAGTGCCCACAGGTGGCTCACAACCATCCATAGCTCCAGTTCCAGGGGATCTCATGTCCTCGTCTGGCCTCCCTGGACACCAAGCATGCATGTGGTGAACAGACACATGCATACATATAAAAATATGTATGAATGAATAAATAAATAAATGAGTAAGTAAATAAATAAATAGCATAAATAAAATTTTTTAAAAATAAAAAAAAAACTTAACCATGAAAAATAGTCTCAGGCAAAATATCTAAGGATTACATTAATTTTTTTCCCTTTGATAGTACTTTGTGTATAGAGCTTTCCTTTTTCTTTCTTTGTTTTGTTTTTTGTTTTTTGAGACAGATTCTTCAGTAGCCCTGTCTGGCCTCCAGCTCACTTGGTCTTCCTGTCTTCACCTCCCAACTGCTGACATTACAGGCTTTTGCACAATACCCACCTCATTTTCATTTTATGTTTGTTAATATAAGTAGCATTTGTTATGTTGAAATGATATTTTACACTCGGACTCTGAGAGAAAGGATGGAGATCTTAAAAGACACCCAAAGTTGTAGAGAGTTGGCTTTTCTCTTTGTAGAATGTGTGCATCTGTGTGTGTTCTAGAGATTGAACCTGGGGCCTTGCACTCTGCAAAGCATATGCTCTGTGCAAAACTGCCCCCAGCCTACCACTGAATTTTAGTTATGAACATTCAGTAAATGTCCCTTGGAAGATTCTTTTGTTTCCTTCAAAATACTTAGAATAGAAATTAAAATATAACAGGATTGCTAATAAAATAGGCCTGTCCTCTGTTAACACAATTTGATGATAGGCTTTTATTGTTGTTATTTGTTTTGCATGTGTTGCATCTAATTTTATAAAAAAAATGGAATAAGTCAAACTGATATATAAGTTGGTTTTGGTTTTTGGGTTTTTTTCTTTTTCTTTTATTTCTTTTCCTTTTTTTTAAATAAATTTTTATTTATTTATTATGTATACAATATTCTGCCTGCATGTGTCCCTGCAAGCCAGAACAGGGCACCAGATCTCATTACAGGTGGTTGTCAGCCACCATGTGGTTGCTGGGAATTGAACTCAGGTCCTTTGGAAGATCAGTCAGTGTTCTTAACTGCTGAGCCATCTCTCCAGCCCTTCTTTTCCTTTTTTGAGACAAGTCTTGGGCTCACTATCTGAGGATGATCTTGAACTTCTGATCCTCCTGCTTCTCCCTTCCAAGTGCTGGTATTACATGAGTGTGCCTCATACCTGGCTTTGAGATATATATCTGTGTGTGTGTGTGTGTGTGTGTGTGTGTGTGTGTGTGTGTGTGTGTATTTGAGGGACTAATGTCTCTACATAATTGCCACATTCAGTATCAGGAAGAATTTTTATTAATGTGAAATTCTTAGAATGATTATTTGGGATTTTGAAAGACAAAATTGGATAAATAATAAAGTATTTCTACCATGTAAACACTTTCTAGGTGTTTCTGCCCAGTTTTCCTTCATAGTCAGATGCTATGGGAGTTGGTGCTGTTGGGAGAGCCCCTGGTGGTTATGGCACCATCACCATCAGAGTCTTCAGAAACTGTACTGGCCCTTGTTAAGTGAGTATATTGGGCTCTTGATGCTGATACTTTCAGTATTTCCAGTCTGTGATGTTCCCCCACCCATGGCATTAATCCATGCAACAGCTTGCTCAGAATGGATGAAAAGATTGACTCAGGTTCAGTTAGAGCTAGAACAATGTTTCTGCTGCTTTGAATAACACACACACACATTCTTTACTTACGTGAAGTTAGACCTTGATAGGTTCCAATTAATATTAGTCATCAGTGCTTACCTAAAGGCAATATTGGAATGATTCATCTATCGGATATATATTGTTTATATGGATGTCTCATGGTTATGGATTGGAACCTTGATTTTGTGTCTTCCTGTTCCACAGCTGTATTTCTCCATTAAAGTACTTTAGCGATTTTCGACCTTACTTCACAATTCATGATAGTGAATTCAAAGAATATACTACTCGCACTCAAGCTCCGTGAGTAAACAGTACCTTTTGTTAACTAAGTTGTACCTTTATTTCCAACATTTTGTAGAATTGTATAATAATACATTTTGTTATGTAATAAATTTTTAATTTAAAATTTTGATTTACTGACAAATTGATTTTATAAAAGTTTTGGGGAGCTGTTGGTAATAATTTAAGATTTGAAGAGTTAGTAACTTTCTTTAAGAGATTTTACTTAATAGAATCTGTGTTGTTATTAATAATTACACAACTGTACCTCAGATTTTTACTCTTATGAAAAATTCTTTTGATCTATGGAAGGGAAAATGATCATATTCTTTCCATTTTAACTCCTGTTTTATAATTGCTTATCTTCTTTTCTTAGCTAAAGTTTTAAAGGGAAAAATAATTTCCATTTAATTCCTATACTTCTTGATTTTCTGTTAATGTCACAGTGTCTGGTGCAGGCAAACTTCCTGTTTTGGGGGGGTTGTTTGGCTGTTTGTTTTTTTTTTTTTTTGAGAGAGGATTTCTCTGTATAGCCCTGGCTATCCTGGAACTCACCTTGTAGACCAGGCAGGCTGGCCTCAAACTCACAGAAATCTACCTGCCTCTGCCTCCCAAGTGCTTTTTTTTTTTTTCAGCATTGAAGTTTTTATTCATGTGAATCATTAGAAATGGGCATCTATACCAGTGTCAAACAAGGGTGGGAGAGGAAGGCAGGGTAGACAAGGAGAAGGAATTCCCGTCTATTGGTAATAAAGCTCCAGGTTCATCCCATCATGGATTTCATAATCTCCCAGAGACACTTGGTCCTTAAAAATTGTGTACCACTTTTTAAGAACGATCGTATTCCAACGGGTGCCAGTTTGGGCCGCTATCGGTTTCTTCAAGTCCCTGATAGTGTCATTGGTGTTGCACTTGACGCGGACTTTCTTTCCTAGATGGTCGTTGCAAACCACCTCAATCATTGTGGCTGGAGCTCTAATCCCCTTGAACTTATCGACACAACTTCTAGCTCAAATCAGAATTTCTTTTTCTTAATTTATTTTTATTTTATGTGTATGAGTGTTTTGTTTGCATGGATGTCTATGCACCATGTGTGTGCAGTGCCCATGGAGGCCAGAGGGCATCAGGTCCCCTGGAACTGGAGTTACAAATGGTTGTGAGCTGCCATGTGGGTGCTGGGAAATGAACCTGAGTGCTTTGAAAGGGCAGACAGTGTTCTTAACCTCTGAGCCATCCCTCTAAATCCGAGACTAACTTCTTAATTTGTAAACATTTTTTATGCTCATTGCTTGAGGTAATGAACAAGAACTCCATTGCCGCGCCACCCCCCCCCCCCGCGTGTGTGTGTGTGTGTGTGTGTGTGTGTGTGTACATGCATGCATGTGCCTGCACAAATTTTTGAGACAGGCTTTCATATACTATAGGCTAGCCTTGAATTTCTGAGCCTCCTGGTGCTACCTTCCAACTATGAGAATGGCAGATGTGCCATTTTTAAGGTAAAGTCTCCATCCATAGCCCAGACTGGTCTTGAATTTTTGATCTCTGTGCCTCAGCCTCGCGTAGGATTGAAGACCTACTTCACACTTATCTTCAGAATATCTTAATCCTTGATCCTCCTGTCTCCTGGCTGTCTGGTGGTATATTTTATTTTTATGTGTAGACTTCTTTCTCTGCTCTTCCCTTAAATGTTGATGTTATCAAAGATTGTCTTCTGGGTTCTTTTTTCAGACAGATCATTTTCTATATAACCTTAACAGCACCCATGGTCTCTGTTACGACCCTATACTAAGGCTGAGGAGGTGGCTAAGCAGGTAAAAGCACTTGCCATGCAAGCTGTCAATTGAGGCTCAAGCCCCAAACACCACGTACACAACTGGACACAGTGGCATCCATCTGTAGTCTAAGTTCTCCTGCAGTTAGCTGGGAGGCAGAGACAGGAGAAACCCCTGGAAGCTGTGCGCCAGCCAGCCTGGACTGTGCATTGCATCAACAGAAACAGTGAAAGACCCTGCTTCAGGAAGGTGGAAGGAGAGAACAACTCCTGAAAACTCTTCTGATACCACCCCCACCCCAGCATGCCATGGTACAAGAGCATCTTCATTTCTCTCTTCCTCTCCCTCTTCCTCTTTCTCTCTCTCTCTCTCTGCCTCTCTCTTCCTCTTCCCCCCATATGCTCCTGTGCTCTCTCCTGGGCTCGTTCTCTCACATACAATTAATATTTAATTAATTGTAATTAATTTAAAGAATCTATATTAACTTGTCATGGTAGTTCACTCCTGTAATCTCAGTACTGAGAGGCTGAGCAGGAAGACTGAGGTGAGTTCAAGGCCACTCTGGACTAACTACGGAACAAAAACTTAAAAGATCCTATACTAATGACTGAAATATGTCTTTGTACCTTAGATCTCTCCAACACCCAGACCTACCTTATTGGTGGTGTAGAACGTTACATCTGTATATGTGTTCGTTCTTTTTGAGATGAGATCTCAATCCCAAGCACTGTTGGCCTAGAACTGGCCTTATACATTAGGGTGTCCTTGAACTTGATAATGTAGTTTAGGATGATCTTGAACCACTGATCCTACTGCCTTTGCCTCCCAAGTGCTGGGATTATAGGCATGTACCACAATGCCCATTTCACACACGTATGTGTAAATGCATCTGAAACTAAGCATGTTTAACTGATTTTATTTTATTTCCCTCTTTTTTGTTCTAATCTTATATTACTTTCTTCATAAGTGGTATTAGTTTTGACTTAGTTGTCCAAAACATAGTATTATGTCTTCTTAACATGGCCCAGAACAACTCTTATAACTCACTTCTGTCAGTTCATCACCCTAAAACATCTCTCCACCTATTTATCATCTTCTTTCTATAGTTCCCTCTTCAGACTTCAGTTTTTCTCTGTTCACTGTGGCTTTTCCCCCAGGCCTCCCTTCCATACAGGGCATCATCCAAAGTATACCTACAGTGATCTATAACCTTTATGTGGTATAACTCCACTTGATTCTTTGTGGCTGCTCTTTGCTCATGAGATAGCATTAGCTGGGCAGTGGTGGTGCACACCTTTAATCCCAGCACTCAGGAGGCAGAGGCAGAGGCAGAGGCAGGGAGATCTCTGAGTTTGAGGCCAGCCTGGTCTACAGAGTGAGTTCCAGGACAGCCAGGACTACACAGAGAAACCTTGTCTCAAAAAACCAAAACAAACAAACAAAACCCAAGATAACATATTAATTGTATATGCTCGGTGCTGCCTTGACTCTTCTTTAACTGTTATCTGCCCCAGTCTGCTCAGGAGTGCTGAAGTACCTGTTACCATGTGTGTAGTTCTGGGTAGAGACTGACCTCACCTCATTGCTTGGCATGTACCCTCCCTTGTTTACTTGGCAGAAAACTACTCATCTTTCATGTCTTGTCTGTATCGTGTCTTTGGTGAGTCTGTCCTTTTAAAACCCTGGCGGACCATAGATTCTCCTTGTGATTACTGTGCACTTCATCCTCATTTTGTTCTTCAGTGTCTTTAATTGTTGGCATCATGATTGAGTGTGTATAACTCTATACCTATATTCTGTGTTAAGAATCATGTTTTGGGGGCACTGGGGAGATGGCTCACAGTTAAAAGCACTGGCTGCTCTTGCAGATGACCCAGATATGGTTCCCAGCACCCACATGGTGACTCACAGCCTTAACTCCAGTTCCAGGGCCTCTGATGCCTTCATTTGGTCTTCTAGTGTCCCAAGCATACATGTGAAGCATAGACACACATGTAGGCAAAACGCTCACACAAAATAAAATGAATAAATCTAATAAAAATAATCGTATCATATCTTTTTATATTCATGTGTCTAATACTGAATATGTTACCTGTTATGTTGATATGTAATAAACCAAGTAAAGGGAACAATATTCTATATATTGTCCACTCAGAAACTGTCACTTATTCTTTGGTGATTTAACATTCTTTTTAATTTTTTGTTTTGCACCTTTTTATTTTGTCTCATTTTTATCCAGGCCCTCAGTCATCTTAGGAGTAACCAACCCCTTTTTTGCTAAGACGCTACAGCACTGGCCACACATTATTCGAATAGGAGATCTTAAACCTGCGGGTAATGTGTCTACTTGGTGTTTACAGTGTGTGATGGGATGGGCACTTACTTGTATCTCCCCTTGTGTTTGTCTCTTGCTGTTTATATTATTGGCAACATTCTTGGAGATAGCCTAGAGAAGAGCCTTTGGAGGAGAGTTACAGCTTCTCACTAAAATGGGCATATGCCCTTGCCCAAAAGCATTGTTATAAAGCCCAGGGAAACTAAGCCTTTTATTTTATAAGCCAGTACAACTGGAAATTCTACTTTGCTCGAGGAAAGTCTTATATAAAACTAAATGATAGCCAGAAGTCATAGTGCCTATGTATAATCCCAGCACTCTGGAGACTGAGGCAGGAGGATTTTGAGTTCAAAGCCAGCCTGGACTACATAATTCCAGGACAGCATGAGCTATAGAATGGAGACCCTGTCTCAAAATAAGGACAGAAAGGCTGGACAGTGGTGGCGCACGGCTCTAATCCCAGCGCTCAGGAGGCAGAGGCAGGCAGATCTCTGAGTTGCAGGACAGACTGGTCTACAGAGCAAGTTCTAGGACAGCCAGGGCTGTTAACATAGAGAAACTCTGTCTCAAAAACAACAAAAAGCTATAATTATTTCAGACTTGGCATGAAATTCTCAGGTAGATTTTTTTTTTTGGTTTTTCGAGATAGTGTTTCTCTGTGTAGCTTTGCACCTTTCCTGGAACTCGCTTTGGAGACCAGGCTGGCCTCGAACTCAGAGATCCGCCTGCCTCTGCTTCCCGAGTGCTGGGATTAAAGGCGTGCACCACCACCACCACCACCACCACCACCACCACCACCACCACCACCACCACCCCCCCACCCCCACCCCCACCCTTTCAGGTAGATCTTAAGAGAAATGTTGTGTAGTCTTGTGCATTGTATTGACTAAGGAAGTCCTCACATGTTTGTGCTTTCCTTGAGAAAAAGACATCTAGTATTAGGTTAGTAAGTGTTGATTACATGAATAAATGCATTCTGAGACTGGATGTTTAATTTAAATGCCAATTTAATGATACCCCTAACATTGTCATGCTCCCGTCAATACATTAGTTTGTTTAGAGATACAAATGACAGTTCAAAGAACAGCAGTTACTCTACTCACAAAAGACATGGGAGGTTTTTAAGTTTTTTATTTTTATACTTATCATCAGTTTGGTTTTTACTAATCTAGACTGTCTGATTGACTATAATACAATACTTTGCTTTTTATGAAAAAGGTTCCCTTAGGGATAGAGGTAGGAAACTTTTGCCAGAAACCATTAGTGACATAGTATGAACTGATAAACTTGTCTTAAAAATCACCATAGGGAAGCTGGACATTTTGGCAAATGTCTTTAATGCCAGCGCCCCAGCAATTGGGAGGCCGAAGTAAGCAGATCTCTATGAGTTTGAGGCTAATCTGATGTTCTTAGCACGTTCTCATAGTGAGACCTTGTCTCAAAAAGGGGGGGAAAAAGCCTGGGTGCTGGTCTCTTATCAGACATGCTTTGTAAATTTTGAACCATTCTATGGACTATCTTTTTACTCTTTGGGTAGAGTCCTTTTATGCACCAGCTTTTTTAGTTTTGATGAAGTTCATTATATGTTTTCCCCTTTATTTCTTGTGGATTTAGAGCCATATTCATGAAATCAGATTTAATTTTACAATCATGAATCTTGTCTTAGGGCATATAGTTTGGCTTCTTGAATTCAGAGCCAGGCCTACTGCACATGCTACACAAGTTGTGCAGTGTAAAACCCTGATGGGGATTCTGACTTGAAAACTCAAACAGACAGAATCTATAGAATTACAGAAAAAGCATATCCTGTAGGTCTCGGAGGGAAGACAAGGCAAAGCAGAGTGTCCCTTAGGCACAGAAGTTGATAATTATCCTAGAAATGTGTGTTTGGTTTTAATACGGCAAGG